TTTAAGGATCAAAAACTGCTCTCAGGAAATTATTTGATATTTTTGCTAGAAGGGATAAATTATATATCTTAATGTGTTATATACCCATAAGTATCTGCATTTTATTAGTACAACAAAAATAATGGTTATTTTTCACTGTTATTTTAACTTTGCTCTGTCAGATATTGTGCTACATTTAATCTTCAGATAAACCATGTGAGGTCAACAATGTCATTATTCTTATTTTACAGATGATAAAGCTAGAAAATACAGAAGTTAAGTAACTTGCTTAAAGAGAGTATTGAGTGGAGGATCCAGGTTTTGAACAACCCACTCTTTCTGAATCCAGAGTCTGTGTTCTAACTATGGTAACCATAAGACTTTGATTGGTTCACATTAAGAAAATGAAGTTTTAAATTGTGTTGTTAGGTGGGATTAGTAAACACAATATCCATCTTTGAAAGTATACTTCCCAGTCAGCTGCCTACCCTCACGAATAGCAATTCAGGAGGCCAAGGATACTACTTTGCCTGGCAGTATCCCAATCCAAATAAGGACAATCAAACAGAATTTTTCTTTTAGGTCACATGTTTCTGGATTACAACTGTGCTGCTTTGAAAAACAATAGCCTCTAGGGACACATCGGAAAGCAGGACTCATAAAATATTGGCATTTGCATTTAAAAATGTCTTGTCAAAAAACCAACAGTCATATTCATTAGGGAATTGTGCTATAATCCCTCAAAGAAGGTCAGAATTCAAATTCTATCAGAAACTCTGTTTTTATTTTTCTCACTTAAATCATCTTTCAAGAGGGATTTTTTTCGATTTGTTTTCTTAACTGAAACCCTGCAGTCACTAAAGCTTAGCAGGAAAAGGTGTGTGCGTGCGTCTGTGTGTGTGTGTGTTGTATAGGTTTAAAACTAATTCATAACTTGTTTTATCCTACTTTATTATGTGTTGACCTTTTTTTGAAGTCCAGCCCAAACTTCAAAAAAATGCCTCTCTGGAATACTCACTGAAACATTTTTTTTTCTAGAAAGAAAATTTTCCATTAAAAAACATCTCAGAAGTCAGCAGTTTTTATATTTAAAGTTTAAAAGCAATTAAATGCCTCTTCATCTCTCTTCCTTCTACATCGTCTCTGTTTTACTAATATTCCTAAGGCAAACGCAATTTTAATAATTATACACACATCTCAATAAAAACATCTTCAATTTCCTGCTGTATGTCTTACTAAGTCTATAGGAAATCAAACCTCATCAAGCAGTGTTGTTCTAAAATTTCTTGAGCTGATATTTTAATTATAAAGTCACAGACTTAGAAGATACATACGAGGTAATCTTAGGTCTAACCAGTGGCATGATGGTAGATGTTTAACCACAGGCTCTTCAGGAGAAAAACAAATCCTGATTTGTAGCATTTGCCAATTTCCATGGTGTAAATACTCCCACTGTAGCCAGTTTCAAGCTACCAATGTGACATCATTGAAGGCAGAGTTGGGAAGATATGCAACCACAATCCACACACCACTGGGTCTGACAACACTGAGAGCACGTGAGCTTTCACTGAAACTTCTAGTAAGTCTCTGAAATCTCCTTTGGGTCAGATGTTACTAATAGGATGCAGGTAAGAATTGTGCTTAATAGCCCACACTCTAGAGCCTGGCTGCCAAGACCTGACCTCCACTCTAAGATAAAGTTACTCTCTGTGTTATTTTGGGTAAGCTATGGAGCTTTTCTGTGGCTCTATATCCTCATATGTAAAAGAGTAATAATAAAGTTTCTATCTCATAGGATTGCTGTAATGATTAAATGAAATAGTGCATTAAGATGCTTAAAAGAGTTCTTGGCACATAGTAGGCTATAGTAATAGGATATGAGTAGTAAAAGTTAAGTATTGTTTTTCCAGAATTTACAATCCCAACTCTGAGAATGTTTTACACATTGTCATCTAAATCTTTCAGAGGTTATTAAAAACCATCCTGCTTCATAGCAACATGCTTTGAGAGGAGCCAGTTACAGAGGGAGGAGCACTAAGTAAGAAGTCGCATCCTAGTTTCTAGTCCCAGTTTTGCCAATGCCTAGGTCGGTGACCTCTGGCAGACCATTTTGCTTCTAAGAGCTTTAGTTTTCTCATTAGCAAAGTGCAGAAAACAATGATCACCCTGCCAACTGCACGGGATTGTAGTGAGATTAATATGAGATAATGAATCTAAGAGCCCTTGGCAGATGGTACAAATGTGAGGTATTATTATTAATCCAATTTAAAAATCAAGATGCCACGGAAGCATGGAAGCTTTAAAATAAAATGGTAAAAAGTTTTCTGTCATTTGAGTAAAAATTGGGAATGATGTGGTATTAAGAGCTGGGATGTTTTCTTGTGAAGAGGAAAAAAAAAACAGCAAAAAAATTCTACTGTGAAGCAGTTAAGTATTTTTTCTTCCCACAAAAGAACAATTTTCAAATGAAAAGGAACTATATTTTAAAATGTATCATATGTTTACATGAATTAGGGATCATGGGGAGCTAAATTAACAAAATATCTATGGAATCATAATTTTCCGAGAAAGGAAATACAACAGAAAAATTAATAAATATAGCATATAATAACCTATAAAATGAAAGATAAGACAGGAAAACCAAATAGTTAGCATTATGCAATTATAAGATGAATAATGTAAATTTCCAAATAATTTTTAAAGGTAAAATTGAGTTATAAAAACAAAGATAAAAATAAAATGTTAAGGACAAACTGAGGAAATCTTAAACATATTAATTCAGTCAACTTGTGGGAAGTAAAGAGCACACACAAAAATGAAGGAGCAAGGAAATTACAGGAACAACATCAGATTTTTTCTGATTTACACTTTGAGTCTCTGTTCACTTAGAAGAATCATATACATTTACATACATTCAGTGAAAGTTAACCAAGAAAACAATTCAGCATAGAGTTTATAATCTAAAAGTATGTGTATGATTTTTTTTCTTAGTTTATGACTCTAAACCACGCTTTAACAGAGGAGTTCCGTTCTGGGGACAAATAAAAAACCACCCGGGCAACGAATCTCTCCCATCGTCTTTTTCTGTCAGTTATTAGTGAAAATTCTCATTGTCTGATACTAAAAAGTTCGGTACATGATATAGGAAGATCTCCAATTTTCCTTATTTGGGAGGAAAAAAAGCAAAAAGAAAGACTGTGTATCTGGTATGCTACCTTCCATGAAAGAAGGAGAGAAAAATATGAAATAAAAATTGGTAATAAATCATTGGAAATATACACAAGAAATTTATAAGTTGAGAATCTGAGTAGATTGGGACAAGGGTAGAGGCAAGACTTTCACAAAGCACCTTTTTATATTATTTTGATTTTTTAATCATGTGAATTTATTACCTATTAAACAGCATCATGTGTGTGTGTGTTTAAGCCCAGTACTCACTGATATATAAAACCTTCAACGTCACATCTGGTAACATTTCTCACCTCTCCCAAGCTCAGGCCTGACCCTGGCATGGACACCTGCAGAAGGAAGGGGCATCATGGATGTCTTCACTCTCCATGTTCCATCTCCTGTCCCACTCACTCTGCTGTTTCTCCTTGTTCAGCAATGTGGTGGGAGGAGGCAGCAAATCATAAGAACCAAAGGGTCTTATAAGACTGGTCTATTTGTTGTCATCTGTGTGACGAATGCCCAAATGCTGGTTATTTTTTTCTCCTGGGGAGGTTTTGTGGGTCCTTCAGAAACAACTCGCTACAACGAGAGGGTACCTTGAACGTTATATGTTCTCTGATATTTGGGCTGAATTTTTATGATTCCTTCCCTGGCTCTTATAGCAACAATCAACCCATGCAGCTTCTCTTTCACCTTCTGAAGTCAGTATTCTTTGGTAAATCCCTTCAAAAGATCACTATACCACCTGCCTCATGACTTTGAAAAAACTCAGTGCCTTTTCTATGCTAAACTCTGGAACTACATGTCTCTCCCTCCACAGGGTCCGTCTTACCTGTGAATTCAAGGTAGTTCTAATCAGCCCGCCACTTTCTTTTTTGAGATGAGATTCAGGAACCAGTCTCAGTACTCTCTGAACTCCTAGAAACACTGGTCAAATCTCCCAAGAACTGCCATAGCATACTCCATGGAGTCTTCTATTCACTCTAGGGTCCTCAGGATCTCCCCATGCGCCACTGTGACTTGAAGTCAGGGGTAAGTACCCCCTTGTAGAAGAAAGAGAAAATGCACAGTTCTCCCTTTGGGCCAAGGTTTCTTAATCTCCATACTATTGGAGTTGGATAATTCTTTGTTGTGGGGGATTTCCTGTGCATTTTAGGACATTTAGTAGCATCCCTAGCCTCTACCCATCATATAACAGTAGCATGTCCCCATTGACCAAACCAAAACTGTCTCCAGACACTGCCAAATGACCCCTGGAAGGCACATCGCCTGGTTGAGAGCCACAGCACTAGACTAACAACTGTCTTCAAATAAATCTCCATTTCCTAATCTTTTTGCCACTCTGCTATTTATGAGGCTAGGTGATGAGGTTTAGGTGATGATCAAATACGCATTTGGGACTGCTCCTTAACAAGCCCTGCACATAGACACGTCTCATGAGAATGGGCATGTGACACCGATTTCCTCAGAAGGAACTATGAAATCTTGAGATAATAGGGAAATCTTTACATCAGTAAAAGCTTACATCTGTATCTGACATTTAAAAATCTGGGCCTAAGGGCAGTGAGGGTAGGGAGAGAGGAGACTTGACTTTGTTCATTTTATGACTTTATTGTTTGACTATTTTTTGATATTCCAGCATTTGGATTAAAATGTGTATTTTTTAGAAAGGATCATAGTCCAGTCACGTAGCTACATGAAGAGGAACTTTTTAAGTTTTAATAAGATTTTAATTTCAGTTTCACAACTAAGATATGCTAAATTCAAGTTTGAGATGAAGGAGGGTCAAGAAAGAGGAACAAAGGGGAGAGAGACAAAGAAAGTAAAAGGGAGAGGAGGTTAGAACTTACCTTGTTTCATCGATATAAACTGCTTCCAACACAGATGCTGCATATTCAATATTCTTCTTCAAGTCTACGACGTTAACATCACCTTTTTCAAGCTGCTTCACTAAGCATCTTAGTCTATGTCAAAAAAGTAGCCAAAAAGAGAAAGAAATGAAAAGATATTTATTGTAACTATATGGAAAATAGTATAATTTTAAATACATAAATAGAGTGAAACTTTTAACATATCTTTCTGGGTCATCTACAAATAGAAATATTTTCAGAGATTTTTTTGGTATAATTAAGATCAATCTTTATCACTTAAACAACAGTTAGAAATTATATTCACCTCTCAATAATATCAGGGCTGTACGTTGACCATATTTCAAAGATAGTCTTGCTGAAAATTCCAGACAGTATAGACGTTTTCATGAAAGTGTATTCCCAACACTAAAATTTATTCTATGGCTGTTCTGCTCTTCAGAGTTGGCACTAAGAGACTATTTAAAGGATGATCTTTTGACAGCGACTCTAGCAATTGTTCATTGTGTATAGCAAAAAAACCAAAAGTGAAAAGCAAAATTCCCAAGAAAATATAATTGAGATGAGAAAAAGAATACATGTATGTATGCTTAGTGTTTTTACTGCAATCGTTTTTCACCTGAATCAAATCTGTAAAATATTTTCTCTTGTTTTTGCCCATGGGATGATGTGTCCTAACTCTCTGTGTAATTGTAAAACATAGGCTCAGCTAAGCCATATCTGGATTACTGACTCACAGAAACTGTGACATAGTTAATGTTATTGTTTTAAGCCAATAAATTTGGGGATAATTTTTTAAGCAGCAATAGATTTCTCATGTAGTCAGACAATACTAATTACCTCAATAATTTTCTAACACTTTTAGAAACTTCTATGCGTTAATTATAAACCAAATGTTTCTAAAGATACTGCCCTATACCAGGCAGAGAAGGAACTCTCTTATACTCCTTACTCTCTACATTTTATACATAAACGATGTGAGGACAATTATCCATTTTCTTAAGTCAGCAGATAGAATTTAATTCCATTCCTGAGCAAAAGTATCTCAGATAAATGGAGTATATCTACTTTTAGGCACTATCTTAGAGATAGTGTAGCTGATTTTCTGAAAATTTACTTTGGATGATTTCCAATACCAAGACTTAGGGTGTAGAGACAAGTTAAAAATTTCAGCAAAGGTATTTGACATTCCTCCATCCATAAGAAACATTGTATTTCTCCATGGAAAAAAGCCACACCTAGATTAAAACTTATTATTTAGGAAGCTATAAACAATCATTTTTTATACCACATACTTTTATATAATAAAATATAGGCAACAATATTGCAAAATAAATTTTATGTAACAATAAATAAGTCTTATTAGTATAGAACCAGCACAGCAAAACAAAACAAAAATAACAACTTAAACAGGTTACTTAGAAAGGAAAAATTAAGCCTGGCTTTGAGGCTTGCCTAAAACACTGAATGTGATGACGATGGAACAACAGATAGAGCATTTTGAGATTTTTGTAATACTTATGACCCAGCACATTATACTTAGTCAAATTGCTATTTATGTGTGAAAGTAAGAGTTTCACAGCTCTGCACTGACTTAAAAATATACCACTCATATATCCTTCTTGTGAAAATTACTTGAGTACAGCTTGGTTGTACTTGGTTGTATGATCTGGTTTTAAAAACAATAAATACTTCAGAAGGTTGCCTCCCTTCTTTGTGAATAACTGATCTCTACTGTTTAGTTAGCAATTATTTCCATTAAGAAACTACATTTCCCAGGCTCTCTTGAAGCTAGTATGGTCATGTGACTGCATTCTGGTCAATGAGATATAAGTGGAGGTTGCCGAGTTAGACTTTCAGAACAATTATTTTAAAGAGGGCTAACTCAACTGGGAGGAGCTCTTTTTTTATCCCTTGCCTATTTCTTACTGACTGGAATGGAGTGGAACTGTCTGAAGGCCCAGCAGCCATCTAGAATCACGAGGTATCCCGGCAGAAGGAAGTCACCCTCTAAGAATGGCAGAGAAAGACGATGGAAGTGGCCTGGATCCCATGCTGTGAATCTACCTGAATGAAATCACCTACCTCAGAACTTATATGAGAGAACAAAAAGTGTTGCGTTTAAGCCACTATTTTTTTTTTTTTTAACTTTTTTTTTTTTATTGCAGTACCAAATGGATTAAAGACTTGAATGTAAGACCTGAAACTGTGAAAGTTCTAGAAGAAAACATAGGCAGTACGCTCTTCGACATCGGTCTTAGCAACATCTTTTCTAACACCACATCTGACCGGGCAAGAGAAACAATAGAAAAAAATAAGCCACTATTATTTTGAGATTTCTTTTATATGTCACCAAATCCAATCCTAACTGATTAATCAAATGAATAAGAAATGAATCAAAATAAAGAACTCAGGAATAAAGAAATCTTCATGTAAAATGAGAGAGGATGCCCCTGAGAAACTCTCCACAGGTGCACTTCCTAACTCCTGACAGCCTGCAGTTTTTCCCCTGGGAATCATCCCATTGGCAGACCATACCTGATGAAACCTGTGACATCAAGGGGCCCTGATACTCGCAAAATGAATAAGCCCTTTCACAGAGACATCTAGATGTGGTTTAAAAACAACAAATGTTATGAATTGTTATATCTTAATAGTGGTATAAAACTATAATCTGACACAAGAAATTGCTCTGAAAAGAATACTCCAAAAAGATTTTACCACCCAATTAGAAAATCTATTTAGATATGGTTATAACTCTGTAAAATCATAGCCACCCATTCACACACACACACACACCCCTAAACTCAGTATATCAACCCAAAAAGACTGGAAGGAAATATATATTTTTGGGTTACTAGGACTTCTTTCTCCTTTATCTCCTTTGCCTATATACACCAAATTTCCTTTAGTGAGTACAAATTTCTATTTATACAAAAAGGAAAACTTTTGTATTATAAAAAGATTGTTCATAATTAGAACAGTGGGTTAATGGAATAATTTACATAATTATTCTTTCAATTGTGAATTCCTCTCTGTAATCAATTTAAGCATACAATAATCTCCAACAATCTTATTTAGGCTATTATTTCACCTTTTTTATAGATAATACAAGGCCAAACATCTTCACGAATCATTTTCAACTTATCATACATTCTAAACTGATGGGTTTCAAAGTGTTAAGGTTTTACTGCATATATGTGTACAAACTTGTAATTTCTTAAGGAAGATAACTATGGACTATTTACTTAATTCCTAAGCCATCCTATGGACAAATTCTCAGAACTGAAGAAGAAATCACAAAGTCATGTGCATAAAATAAACAGGTTTCCTTAAGTTAATAAAGACTCTTTTTAATAATGATTTGACTTCTTTCATCAGAGTAGGCAAGCTGAGTAAAAATCAACGTCTTTACTAGCACGCATAGGTATGTTGTTCGGGTTTCCAAAGCTTAGGTTAAGTACATGTACTTGATGCTCTAACCTGAGCAGTTTCTAATCTAGCTCAACAATCTGTGGATGGAGATTCCACTGGCTACTCTGCTTCGTAGCAAAACAAGTTAACAGATGTTCTATCAAACAGCATAGAGCAACTATTTATAAAGAAACTAGATTGCCAAAAGATGTTAAAAACCCAAGTCATTAAATAAATAATTATTTAGCACTTATTACTGCCCTTAGGGCTGTGTAAAACAGTATGTATATGGATATATATAAGAATATATATGAATGCTCATATAAGGATACATATACACACACATATATACATATATAATGCATGAGCACCTGTGTGTGCACCACAGTACTTGACTTCAAGATATTTGCAGTCTCTGCGGATGGTATACATGTGCAAATAATGTGGTCAAATGTTGAAATGCATACATTTCCCATTACTTCTTTTACGTACACTCTACTTTCCAAGCAAACTAATTTAGTCACTTGTTCCTCAAATAGTCTCACATCATCCTAGATTCAAGCTCTTCTCTCTTACTGAAATTCCTTTCTCCCACATCTCTACCATCTTTACCTGTCTGAATCATTATTAGTTACCAGGCATATCTGCCCAGTGTAGGCACATCTATATCACAAGTCCTTTGAAGATTCCCAGACTCCTCTCCATTGTGATCTCTCCCTACTTAGAAACTAAACCACACTTCATTTATTCCTCACTAACAACATTGAAATTTCTCTGGCTCTGTTATAATTTCAATTTTTTGTACATGATGTTTTCCAGATTGGTTTATCAGCCTATAATTACAAGGCATGCAAAGAAGCAGGGAAATTGACCCACAATGAGGACAAAAATCAATCAGCAGATATTGACCCAAATATGACAAAGATGATAGAATCAGTAGGCAAAGATGTTAAAACAGTTATTATTAAGCAAAAAATAATATAAACAACAGTATGCCAATAAGATCAACTGAGATAAAATGAACAATTTCTTTAAAAGACACAAGCTACCAAATCTCAAAAAGAAATAAACTGAATTTGTAGTTAAAAACTTTCACACAAAGTAAACTTCAGGCCCAGATAAATTCATTGGTGAATTCTAACAAATATTTAAGGAAGTAATAATACCTATTCCATACAAACTTTTCCAGAAGAATAATCCCAACTTATTCTAGGAGGTCAAAATTACTCTCATAACAAAACCAGATGAAAACATTACAAAGAGAAGCAGCAGCAGCAACAACCTATCAATGAACATAGATGTAAAAATTCTTAACATTTTAGGAAGCCAAATCCATCGATATATAAAAGGATAGTACATCATAAAAGAGATTTATCCTAGGAATGGGAAGTTGTTATAAGACTGAAAAATTATTCAGTGTAATTCACTATATTAAGAAACTAAAGAAGAAAAGCTATATAATCACCTCAATAAATACTCAAAAAGCATTTGATAAATCCAACATCAATTGCTGATTGACATGCTGATTCTAAAATTCATATAAAAATGCAAAGGACCTAGAATAGTCAAAACAAATTTAACACAAAGAACAAAGATGGAGGATTTACACTACCTGACTTCAAGACTTATTTTAAAGCTACAGTATTTAGTATAGTATAAAGAGCAATAATACAGTATAT